CCAAAAACTCGCTAGTCCAGAGAAGAAAATCTCCACAAACGCATCGACAGTTCTGGGTGGTTATGGTTTTCATCTGCAGAGAGGGAAAGGAGCCAGGAAACTGAATGCAGAAACATCAACATGGGAGGCTTCAAAACACCTGTAGTATTTATAGACACAGGGCTGGGGTCAACTCTGACTCTTCTCTAGATTACAACCCAAATTCCCTTCTTGAAAGGACGGAGTTGTAGCATGATGTGCAGCGGTGGTGGTGGAAGGAATGGATAAGTAAACTGATGGAGGAGTTAAAATAGCAGTTCAAGTTTAAATAAAAGGACCATATAAAAACTAGAAACAGATCCATTTTTAGCTTTCCAAGAATAAAAAAAATTAGCAACCATAAACAACCCCCACTTTACATACGGAAAATTAAATCTAGATCTACATGAGACATAAGTATTTTTCAGCATCCTTGAGATTTCTTTATGGCATATGTGCTGAAGCTTCCTTAATGCAGAAACTAGAAGCAGTAAAGGGCAGGTTGGAAGTGATAATCACTCCTGAACTGGGTAGTTCAGAGCTCAGGAAAAATGTTGGAGTGTCAAGATTATCATCAGTAACTTCCAGAACTAACACAGCAACAGATTATGATTTAAAATATTCTCACACTAAGCAAACTCTACATCTTCCTAATTTCTGGCTGAAAAGAAAGGTTTAATTACTGTTATTTTCACACAAAGTTCCAGGAAATTACTAATTTCTGACCAAATACAGAGCAATAAGAAGGCAAAGAGGTGAATGGCAGCACTCATAGCTTGAGAGCCTCTCATGGTCCTGAGGGAAAGTGTTGTTCATGCACATCTTTCCAGAGCATCATATTTACACAAACAGGAAAAGATTAGTCCTCCCACAGCTGTCTACAGCTCATGGATACCGTGCACACAATTCTGACATTTTTATTTATTTGAAATGCAAGCTTATCTTACTCCAGTGGTAAAAACATCTTCTCCTAACTCTCACAGTTTAATCCTCTTTTTGATCTGAGAGATATCTACGGGAGGAAGAGAAATAAATCCAATACACTCAGTTAATTGCTCAGTGACAGATAATCTTTCCTTCTCCACCTTCTTTCTCTTCTATAAAAAGAGTAACAAAAAGTAAATAAAAAGTTCTCAACTAAATCTGTGGAAAAAGTCTGCTGAGAGGACAGTGGTATAATTAAAGTCAGGCCCAGCCTGATGCAAAATTTCATTTATCATGTACAGAAGCAGCATCTCACTTGCTATCCAAAGCTCAGTGCACACAGAGCCTTAACAATCTCGATTATACAGATTCTTCCTGTCTCTTTTCTCTTACTGTATTTCCTCTCTTCATGTCTGTCACCAGTGGCCTTTTAATTTGTCAGTAGTTTTAGAAGGATGTTCTCCATCCCTCAGTGCTGCAGCCAGCTACAGTAAACTGGCTGAGAAATAAAAAAACTTAATCCTAGCAGGAAATAATGTGTTTATAAAGAGGATAGATTCATATCCTGTAGGCAATGGCACAGTTGGGTTATAGGTGGTTACAGTCCAATCAGTAAGAATGCTTAAATCACCCAAATACACTTTGGAATTCCAGATGTGCTTATAACCAGCTATTGCACAAATTACTGTGTCAGTAACATGCTTCTACAGCCCCCCATCACTCACCAACCTTTGGAGAGCGCAGGAGGCAGAAGTGGAATTTCTCTGTCATATATTCAAGACAGATTCCTCTTGAGTTGTGGGTACCTGCAGAACTACCTTTCCCCTCTATCCTTCAGAATCAGAACTCCTGATATCAGAAAGCAAACCAGACATGAGATGATGTTCTCTTCCATTCCCCAGAATGAAACACAGAGGCATGAAATAAATTGCAAGATCTGTTTCCCGCCTTCTCTCAAACCTATTTTTGTTCTATCCTTTTCAAAGAAGCAGGGAGATTTAAATTAACATGTTGCTTAAGCAGCCAGGAGGAGCAACAGCTAATAACCTCTTTCAGGTACACAGAATAATAAGATATGCCCACCTTGCCATTTCCTTCCATCACATTAGGAACAGAGAAGCTGTCCTGGGATTTTGATAAGCATATTTACCAGTGACCTGAAGGCATGGCTGCATTGTAAGGGGGGATCTAACAGCAGAGGCAGACTCAGGACAGAGCACAGTGTAACCAGCACAGGCCTGCTTAAGGTAACAGGAGAGAGGAAAATCCAAGGAAGTGAACTGGCAGCTTCCAGAGCAGCCATGAGCACTTAAGGGCCAAGCACAAATAATGGAGCACTGCAAAGACAAGTGGGTTGATTGTGGTTCTCCAGCATTTCCCTGTTAAAAGCACTTCCCAGGGATTCTGGATGGTTGGCCATACAAATGCAAGGAAGTCTTGATAAGTGACATGTGCCAAGTGAAGCTGAGGGCTTCAAAGTAAGACAACTGGTTCCTCAAATAATTTATGGAATTCCTTGTTCTAAGATGTCACAGGTACTAAAACTTTTAACATACTCCAAAAGATATTGAGAAGGTCAGCTCATGCAATATTAATCCCCTGGTATATACTAAAACAAAAAGAAAATTATTCAGCTCCTCATACACCTTACCCTGATGGCTGAGGGTAATTTAAAACTTAAGAATGAATGCTATTATAATACAGGAAGGAAGGTCAGATATGATAACCATTTTCATATGGTCTTGGTGCCAGCCTGTTTGGGGACTTCAAGTGGGAGCTGCATATGTCCTCATCTTTGAGCCTCCCTGGGACCTGCAAAGCAGCTGCACAGCTCCTTATATCTCCTTCCAAGTCCTGTTTTCTCCTCTTGCCCCTCTCCTGCTCTGCTTGCCAGAGGTACCAGAGACATAAGTGACTAACGAATGTTTCCCTCAGTTAATATTTTGACATCTGGTAGTCTTAGTAGCAGACCGGAAGAAAGCAGGCATAGAAATTGGGAAGAATAAACAGGAAAAGCAGTGTGATTTTTTAAATCCCTGTTCCTTGCCACTGGCTGATGTACTCTTGGGGAAGATCATACAAGAATCAAGAAACTGTAAAACCCCAGAATTAGAATCAGGCTAATTTTGTGGAATACTAAGATCAGGAGTGTGTAATTAGTGGTGCTAAATAGACTGAGAATTATTTTTCATAAAATACTCAGATTTTTGCGTTTTATCAGACAGATTTTGGTGGTAAAATTCCAGACTAGAGGAAACAATCATCCTATTTTTATGTTGTTAAACACATCCTGAGATTAGGACTGAGGTCAGGAAAAGTGCCCTTCCCTCACTCTAGGGCTGCAACACTGCTGGGGTCTCAGCTATCTGTTTCATCCTCCAGTGACATCCACACAGTCCCTTCCTTCTTAATCAGGGCAAAATTTTATGTCATTGTGGAATGCTCCACAGATACCAGAAACAGAAAAGAGCACAAGGCCATCAGCACAATTTTGTGCTGCATTCATACATCTCATCAGGAACTGTGCCTTCCACTCTGATGCGGCTGTCCTAGTTTCAGTCAGAAAACAGTACCTCAACACAGTCCTGCATCACAGAAGCAGATCTTCAGTACTGTCAGCAATGGGGAAGGAGGTGCCTTTGCATGCTGAAATGCCATAACTTCAGCAATGACTGACAAAGCAGAGGTGAGTACTTCTCATGGTGAAATTACTTAAGAGTAGTCAAAGAAAATGAAAATGTTTTTCGTATTTATGAATATTCTTTTTCAAAACCACTGAGAAATCAAACAATCTAGCACAAATTCCCTGTAGAAAAACATGGCCAAAGCCACAGCCCTGAAAGACCCTTTACGTGTGCATACACCATAGTAAAGACAAAGGACTAGAAAGTCATGGCAGCAAGGTGTATGAAAAGACTGATTAACCGCCCATAACGGTATGAAAAACCATTTATGCAACCCCACAAAATACTCATTCTTATGAGCATCACTGTTACTGCTCAGTATAAATCCTAGAAGTTCTATGTTTCTTTAGGTTTTAGTCTGCTTCGTTTTAGTTTTATTTTTTCAGGCAGTGGGTGAAGCAATAGCCTGAGTTCAGAATGTACTTCATGCCAATTCCCTCCTCTATCATTCTATTAAAACCCACTCAGCTCCTGAGCAAAAAGTTTATTTGTTCTGCTTCTGTCCCAAAGTTCTCCCTTACAAAAGAAAACCCCTTTCCAATATAAGTTTATCAAAACAAGTTCACTCCAACAAGAGATTTCAAATACCCAGTTTTCTTCTATCCTGCCAGCAGCCTATCCGCCTTCATCAGTGACCTGCATACAAAACTCCTAAGCTTCCCACCAGAGCTTCACAGATGAAACTCTGAGAAAACCACCCTTTCAGCTCATGGAAGTGAAAGAGGAAACAGTTCTTGGGTTAATTTTTCAGGGAAATAAAACCAGGAACCATCTGCTCATGTTGAATCCAAATAGCTGCCTTAAGAAACTGTTCATGGCCCAGCTCTTCCCTTTGGCTCACATAGTGCATGGCATGCTTTTAAATCATTAAATTCTCAAAACACTCCCTTTAAATTGGTCCAGCAGTCAAGTTCACACAAGTGGAAATCAATTATCTAGTGCTAATCACATCAGTTCTAATCAACAGACTAACACTCTAATCTGTCACTCATAGATGTTCCCCCAGCCTCAGCAACTATGGCTTTTCATAAGGATAATTTGGGCAGACCAGCCATGAGATCCTTCATTATAAACAAGGACTTTGGGCTGTTCAGTTGTCCCAAAAGTAAACCAAATGGTTGATTTCAATCTGAATAAGATGGGAAAGGTGAAATCAAAAGACAGAATATCTGAGAAGTGCCTTATCTGGCTGAAACAAGACAATGAGACTTCAGCCTTTTTGTCCTTGAGTATGAAAGGACAGGAGTGAGAGAAGGTTTAGCTAGAAACCTTCCAACACTTTTAAAGAAATCTAATTAAACTCAATAAAAGAATTGTATCAGGCTTTTCCTATTTACGCAAGGTGGTAATTATTAACTCAATTTATCTCCATACCTCCAAAGAGAGCTCTCTGTGATGCTTCCCAGGTTGTAGTCATACAGCTTTGTCAGAATTAGAATCACCTAAAGGCAAAAGAAGAAATCATGGTTAGTCTCAAACAATTACAATCTCACAGAACTGAAGTGACCCCAGGGAGGGCTTAGGATTCCTTTAATGGGTGCTTAACATAATTGAATGAATTGTTAAAAGCAATTGCTTAAACTGACATGGAAAGAATTTGCAGAGATATATGTTGAACCTTTTTTTGGACCTTTTTTTTTGTTCAGTTCCTCTGCATAACATCACCAACAGGTTCTTCCCTTAACCCCAGGAGGCAGAGTGCAGTGGGAATAAGTTCAGATCTAGACAGAGTTTCAGGATACAAGACGAGATCTTGTATGCAGTAGAAATAGTGACTATTTTCTGCTCTGTTTCACATACACTGAAGCTACTGATCCTTTTCACAGCTGTGGTGCACAGATAAACCACTGGCTTGTCTCCAGTCAAACACTTTCTGGTTACAGCAGATGATTTGACACAATGATCACCAGTGGACTGGCTGGACATCAGGAAAAATCTCAATTAGGGTAATAGTTTAACATCTGGACAGACTACACAGAACATCTGTAAATCCTCCATCCTTGGAGTTTTTTAACATCTGGCTAGACAAAGTCATGGCTGACCTGATCTATAGCTGGTGATAACACTGCTTGGAGTAAGAGGTTGAACTGAGGACCTTCAAATAGCTCTAACAACCAATGCTTCTGTAACTTCACTGAAAAGTTTTAGGTTTAGCCAGAATGGAAATGTTTCCAAGTTTATGACTTTTATTAGCTCTTTCGATAAAGAGCTTTTCCCTCCTGCCAAAGCAGGCACTTCTACAATAAAATTACCTTACCAGGGGGAGGAAAGCAATTTTAGCAAAAAGAATTTGCAGCAAAAGATTTCAGCTTGCTCTTTTGTTAGTGTCTTTAAAAACTTATTTCTGACTTTCAATATGATGGGCTTCTTTAACAAGATCTACATTTGGGACAAACTACCAGACCATTATTATTGCTACTAATTCATTTTGCATGTCTCCCTGCCAGCTCACTGTATATCTTATCCTCCTCCCTATCCCATTAAAACCACAGTAAATTAGAGACCCAACTCTTATCTGACAAAACCTCTGATCTATATACCTCTTATTTTCAGCCTGGGTTCCTCAGAAATGAGGCTCACAGACACACAGTCCCCCTGGTTCCTTGATAAAACTGTTCAATCAATTTAGCTGTGCAGCAAAGGACTGTGGAAGTTCTGTGCCCATCAGCCCAATGCCAGCTGGCACCAGCATGGCACAGAGTTGCCACAGCGGAGGAACAGACTCACCACTGCCTTTTCCAAAGCCAAAAGCCCATCTACTTCCTACACATCCTGAAACAGCCACAATAGTAATTATCTCTTTCCAGTACACAACATGAGACAGCAGAAAGAGCAGTACAGGGGGCAGAGAACACACCTCTGACATCTCCTTCTACAGCACGACTCCTAAATCACTCCCAGCATGGAGAAAGGCTGCCCAAAGCACTTCCTATCTGCATGGACACCAGTCATGTGCAGCTCATGGGGAAACTCACACAGCAGCCACAATCCCCCTCTGCTCCCCAGGGCACCCTGACATGGACATCCCCTCTGCTCCCCAAAACCCCAGTGCTGGCAGAAAAGAGCTTCCCTCTCTCCTGGCAGGTCCCTCTTTGAAGAGGGAGCCAAGGTGGGAACCCAGCCAAGGCAGAAGCCAGAGCTGGGGTGGGCACATAATCTTCACCAGAGCTAATGCCCATCGAGGGCTTTGTAAATCCTGCATTTCCATCTCCACCCTCCCAGGAATGCTTATCAATGACAGCAGGGCAGCTGTCAGCTCCAGATCCACAGCTGTGTCACTGCCACCTCTCATAGCCCCCTCTGGACAGGTCTAAAAATCCCCCTACTTAGCAAGTAAATAAAAACCAAGGGGGAGAAGACCAAAGAAGGGGATGGGATGTGCACATAAAGCCTTTCTGAATACCAACCCAATGAAAGGCAGCTGTGAACTCCACTCCTGTGTGGAGACATCAAGGGGGAGCTGCACATACCCTGGCTGTGAGCCTCCCTGGGACCTGCAAAGCAGCTGCACAGCTCCTTATATCTCCTTCCAAGTCCTGTTTTCTCCTCTTGCCCCTCTCCTGCTCTGCTTGCCAGAGGTACCAGAGACATAAGTGACTAACGAATGTTTCCCCCAATTAATATTTTGACATCTGGTAGTCTTAGAAGCAGACCTGAAGAAAGCAGGCATAGAAATTGGGAAGAATAAACAGGAAAAGCAGTGTGATTTTTTAAATCCCTGTTCCTTGCCACTGGCTGATGTACTCTTGGGGAAGATCATACAAGAATCAAGAAACTGTAAAATCCCAGAATTAGAATCAGGCTAATTTTATGGAATACTAAGATCAGGAGTGTGTAATTAGTGGTGCTAAATAGACTGAGAATTATTTTTCATAAAACACTTCAATTTTTACTTTTTCCCAAGTGAGGAAAATTTACAAATCTTAAAACAGCCATGAAAGAAAACTCCATTGAGAATTTTAGTCTCATCATTTGAGTACAGAAAATTGTAATTGACATCCCAAAAAGAATATGAAATGAAAAAAAAAAATTAAAAGTGCCAGTAGAAGAAATCAAAATATTTCCCCTCCAGAGGGCTGGAATGTCTCTTTTGTTCTTTTTGCTTCCTCGATAAATTTCAGTAAAACCCACACAATCTTAAAGTTATGCAGTCTTGGAACTGATGGGGGAAGAAAGCCAGCTGTACTCCATCACAATTCTTTTTGATATAGATCTAACAATCCTTCTCCAGAGGCATCCCTGGACCCATCCAAACATGCATGTCAGTTCCTGACTAACTACATCAAGGACCCTAAGCAATATTGCTATATCCTGACTTCCTGGTAGATTTAGGAGAAAATCTTAGCATTTAACATTCTCACGATTTGTATTTGACACTATGCTGTGGCAGACACCTGCACCAGGTTCTGGATTAAGAGCTTTGATATCTCCACTTGGTGCAGGAACTATTATCCTTGGAATAGGTACACTACTTCAACAACACGTAAGAGCTGTTCTTTCTATTAGAATTTTTTTAATTTTTGAGAATCTGTATCAGCTTCCAAATGTCTTTAAGATTATCCATGGTTTCAGCAGTCTCCTTGTGTCATTTACTGTGGTTTACAAATACCAGTAATAGATCTGCTCAAACATATACGTGCAAAACAAATTATTTGGCAGAAAATTAGTTATTTCTGCCCTAGAGACCACTATTCTTTTTCCCCCTTTGTAATGATAGTTGAGTTACATATGCAAGGCCATGATTTCAGATATATTTACTTTTTCAGAAATAATTTTTCTTCTTTGCTGTTCTCATTTCTTTGTTATTTAGCCTGCAAAGGTTAGTTCATGTTTAAGATTGTTTCTTTTTTCCCCCCACCCTCTGTGGCTGTCATTGTGTAGTACTGAGGAACCTAATGAACAGAGACATGCATATTATGTTGTTCTAAATGTCAGAATAGGGGCTGTGAAGAAGCACAGTAATGAAATGAAAATAGTCTCTCGCCTTTTCTTCATTTTTTGCTTTGTTTTTGCTTTCTGGGACTGTGTGTTTTTCTCCCTTTTTTACCACTTACCAATCAATGCAAGCTAACAAGAGCAAGAAGAAAAAAACCAAGCAAACTAGAAATAGAATGAAAAGGAACTAAAAATTCAGTCTTATTCCAGCTCTGCTGTGAATACAGATAACCCTTCCTCTTGCACAGAAATACAAGGCTTCAGAAAGTCTGTTATTCATTAGGATCAGCACTTGAAGTGGATTATTCTGCCATAGCAGGTGGGAAAGGAGAAACAAAACTTTATCACTTCTGCTCTGACAGCTCAGAGCAAAAGATATCTGATCCTGGGTTTACTACATCCCAAAATGAGTGCACCTACCAAGAGACAGACCATTAAAAATGGATTTAGTTACCCAGACAAAGTGCAAGAAACAGACACCTGGGAAGACAGACTGACAAAGGAGGTGCTTAAACCTGGTTCACCATCTCCCAAAGGAAATCAGTTCCCAGTGACTATTCTGGGAAAGACAAGGCATTCACACCTTGGGCACCATCATGGTTTTCTTCAAACTATAAGAACATTTTCAAAAAAACCCATATCTTGTTAACCAATCCGGACCTCTAACTGCTTTTTAAAACTTGAGATGTGAAGATGTTTTGAACAGATTTCAAAACATAAGTCAGTGGCTGGGCAGAAGAGATTAGCAGAGAGATTCACTGGGCAGAAGTGATCTTGCTAGATTAGGCCCAGGAGGATCTTTGCTATCACAGCAGAAATTCTAGGGTAACCATGGCTAAATTTTTCCCAGACCTACTTTGGCTTATGACCAAGTGATCTATGCTGTCTCACCATAGCCTTCCTTGCACTTCTGACCCAGGTTTACAACTGGCTTAGATCTTTGTCTTGACCCTACTACTACTTTACAGAGTAGTTTTCAACTACTCTGTAAATACTTCTAGCAAGGCTCCCTCAGGATATGGGCCAGAGCTTGTCCTTTACCACAGCACAAGTTCCAAAGGTAATTAAATGGTTTTCTCCCCTGGCAAAAAAAAAAAATATTTCTCTCATCAAACAGTGCTGAACTAGCTGGCCAGGAAATCTGCTCTGTGCTACTGATCAGGTTCATACCTCACTGGGAAGTAAGCAACAGGCTGCACTCTGTGCCATGGTAAATTCATCTGGGCTTATGACATGTGTCCTCAAAGCAAATCAGTCAACACTGCCACAGAAAGCAGCACTGAGGAGCTCCCAGCACACTGGGTCAGGCAGCTGTAACACTCCCCTGTACCCACTGACCATGGCAAGTTTGTTCCTGGGAATGCAACACGAGTACTGTGCCAAAAGATGCCCATGCTCAGCTAAAAAAAGGACATGGACTACAACCATCACTGTGTTTGAGGTTTGATCACCATTACAAAAGACCCACCACACAACACGGTCTGTGATAATACAACTCAAGTTCATT